TCTGCGGATCGAGTTTAACACTCACCCGTTTGCTTGGGTGTGTAGATGGGTTTGTCAGTCTGTACTAAGATAATCCCATTACGAAAATTCAGTAGAATCTTCATTTCCTTTTTAAACGTCAACTGTGCATGGTTACATGTCGCTACCAAGTACACGTACTGCTTGTCACGAGAGCCTTGGTCGGGAAGGTCAGCTGGAGTCACCTATATATTTAGGTAAATCAAGAGCATTTTCAGAATTGGAATGTCATAAACTGGAATCATGGACCTAGAGCAAAAACCTACCTTGACTGTTAGGTACCCTGGTTTATCTTTAAAGAGAAATATTGAGATTAGAAATTGCTGTCAATGAATGAAACGTCTTCACAGATAGAGTCCATCGCCCTTTCATTCATTTATTCACAATCCCATCCATTTGAATATCCACTTATTCCCATTTGATTAATTTCTTCATCAGTTGGAAAAAGTAGGTATAAGGGTGCGGAGGAAAGGGCGAAGGGGGAGCCATACTTTGAACCTAACTCTCGAAACGTCTCTTGAAGCACTTTCTTAAATGAGAGGCTGKTAGTTTTGTGAGCTCCTAACGACGGAGAACAATACAAAAAGAACAATACACAATGAGAGAACAACACGCAACGAAAACGCATTGTTGTGGAACAAGGGCTAAGCGTCGCATACTCATAAAATTATCCATTCACACAGCAGTCCTATAGGCTTTCACAGTAAAGTGCTTCGTATCATCATACAAAACAAGTCTCGAAAGGCAACCACTAACACATGCACCATGTCACGGGTAGTAACGAGATAGACTTCCAGATCCCAAGTCGGCTACTGATCAATTTGATCCCTGATCCCAAGAGATCCGCAAAAAAGGTTTTGATCCCGATTAAAAAAAAAACGTAATCCCCGGCGATCCTGGGAGACTTATTCCTGAGCCCACCGAAACCTGATCATTGATTCCAAGAGTATACCCCGTTACTGCCCTGCCATGTGAGTTTACTTTACCTTTGGTAAAGACAGCTTGCACTTGGGAGAAAGTTTTCTTTCTGTGTGGATAGTCTTGCATGTGCATATGTACAGTAGCTGGTGAATCGATGCCGGTCAAAAGAACTGAAACCTTCTCCGGTTCACCAACGTGGAATACGTTGGGGGCTGAGATGAAATAATACCTACAGCAAAGAATAGAAAATGTTGCAAAASTAGAACAATGGCGTATATCGAGGAGGTGGGTGACATCTTAATAATTTGGGTTCATCGATACTGACTACTACGATAATTTCACAATGGCTGACAATGAGAGTCTAGGCAACAATATCGTTCAAGCGTTGTAATTATGTTTCTAACCCTCATTAAAATATAATTTATCGACCTCTGTTTCTGCACCAAAAGCCATATTTATGGGTTTTGCTTGAATCGCAATCCCCTTCAGAAGCCCGAGTAAATTGTTTCAACTTCATTGTTCCCATGTCAATGATTTTTAAGGGACAGAGTTTCAACGTTGCGAACGAGTGATCTTTTTRCAATCACGTGACTTGGATTGGTTGTCTGGGGCTCTGTTGATTTGATAMTTTGTCATGAACTCCTCCCCCCTGGCCTTACGCCGATAAAAAATTATTCGTGCAGGCTTCGTGCCACATTAAACGCTTAWAGAACTGTCAACGCATCTTATGCTGGTATAGTATTTCAAAGACATGTCTCTATAACCTTGACTTCGACTGAGTTCTGATATGATGAATTTTACAATAATTATGTCGTAATTGTAAGGCAGCTCGCTTGATTACATTATAGGTTTGATGAAGAAAAAAATGTGTTTTTTGTTTTTTGTTTTTATTTATAAATTGACATGAGTTTTAAGTGGGGTTCTGCCAGAGTATAAGTGAATTATACCAACTGCTGTTTCGCCCCGTGTAAGAGAATCCGGAATCCTCTATAGTTCTCTGGATTCTCTTACATGGGGCGAGCTGTTGGGTCGAAGTCAAATCAGGATTTTAAAGTTCAGGATATAGAATCATCCAGAAACTAATCAACTTTCATCAAAGTACAATCTTAAGGTAAGGTCTTCAAGGCAAATCTGATCTAATCAGCGGTTCTGAGTATTTACAACCATAGAAACATGGATTTTAAACATTGAAATGATGAACGCGTATATTATATTATTGATCGTTTGGAGTTTAGCATCATGCAGTGCTTGGACGTGTATGTAAAACTTATAAAAAACCTTCTACTCAAATGATTCAATGTAATTACACTGTACTTAATCAGAGAAGAGTTTGCAAAATCATGTAACTCAGATATGATGTAGTTAAATTAATGCGCCTGAAAATATACTAAACCGATTTTAATTGTTTACCTGTCTGCGGTTGTACTGCCCACTGCAAAGAGCAGTAATATCACCAACATGTTGATTGTTGAATCCTTCTCATAGGATGACAACCATTGCAAATGAAAATCCTCGTCGAAACAGGCAATAAATTGTCACGCTTCCACACTTCGTTTTGATTGGTCATCAATCCAATCCCGCATGTGACTTAACGGAAGTTATTGCAATCTGTCATGGTGTGACCTGGACTTTGGCAACGGATTTGCTTCCTGTTTTGCTGAAATGGAGGTAGGATCACTTTTTGTAATGAGAGAGGGAAAGAGCTGAAACAAKCTTTTAATTACTGGGATGGTWAATCATAGARACAACATAAACAATTATTACTGGCAGAAAATAGAGAAAATAAAACTTTAAAACTCAACGTGACATCACGTATGTATCGATAGTCAATTTCTTTGTTCCCGGGACCGCAACAACTATCTAGCAGTTTCCTGTGTTTGCCGCTTTTCTTTGAGAAATTTTAATTACCTTTTTTGCATTTTTATCTCRAATATGGTGAATATGGTTTGATTCTTACATTAATGTTTCCGAATCAACCCATCAGACTCTTCTCGGCTTTATTTTTTTCTTTCTTGCCACTTCATATTCCCATTACGTTTAAGCTCCTGGGATTCGCGGAATTTTTCCCGGTGAAGTATCAACTTAGATGGCGAAATGCCCATTCAATCAGYCTTGCATGGTATGTAATCACGCAGTCATGATGAAATGATAGGTCACAAAAAGAGATGTGTTGCTTTACTTTCGTAAAATTCGGTTCAAAACAGCGCCTTTGAATTTTTTTTTCTTTTTTTTTTCTTTTAGTATTTTTTGGCTACTTTTACCAGTCTTGTAGTTCATCTTTCTAAATTCATTTTAAAGTGTTTTTTTTTTTAGGAAACATACTGATCCCTGACGGAAGTTCATTAGGAAATGTTCAAATTGCGCGCGACTCGTTCTCACCACTAAGCGTGTGTCAGCTTTTGAGGAAGTTTTTAAATGAGTAATATTTGAAGTCCACAAACTTTGAAAGTAAACTATTTGAAGGATCTTTAAAATGTGGCTTGGTCGTCGTAATCTGAAGTTTCTAAGTCTATATTTTCACCTACATTCCTAATTTGAAATTATTTAGTATAGCATGCCTGGTATCAGGTCCTCGCTCGTAACAGATATGAGATTACTCTAACGGATGTGATGTTTTTCATGCGCAAATTAGATGACAAAATTTAATTCCGCAATTTCTGCATTTTCAACTTCTACTTGTTCCTATACTTTTGATATAGTAGTTAGTGTTGAGGAGACCTGAGTCACCCCTCATCCTTTTAAAATTTTAGTCTCGTCATCAATGTTTAACTCTAGCGCTCCATGCCACAAATCATTGAATCATGATGCACATTGATCCTCACTATAACCAAGCTATATTATGTCTTTAAATACGATGAATTCGAAAAACTAAAGGATATATTATAGATTTCTTCTAACTGSATGACCCCAAGGGAAGTGCATCCGTTTATTGTGGCCAAAAAGCCAAACTTCCCAATGTCACCATGACGTCATGGATAGTTTAGTCTATGCGTGTCGAAAATACGATACGTACTGGTTTTAGTAACCACATCGGGAAGTCTTTAACGCCGCACTTTTGGAATAGTTATACAGCGGTTTGGTAAAGGGACGCGTATTCACAACATCAAGGTAATGTGGAACTGGGAGATAATAGGGTTTCGTCTTTACTGATATTGTTTTGTGGTCGGGATGCTTGTGACGTAGAATAGCATGATTGCTGCTCGTCTATCTTCACTTAATACGAACGGCATCATCTATGCAGTCCCTCGCTGATATATGAATTGCTTTCCTCATCTTGGGATTATAGATAGTGCAACAATTGCTCGAGATATGCCAGCGCTAATCGCAGTCGCCGCTTGCTTCAGATATCATGCAGATTTATCAGCGCAAATCCCCGTTATTCGATCAAGGATATAGCTACACGCCTATGCAAGAAAATATCCGAGATTGATTTTTATAATCGTGGGCTTTCGTCAGATGGCTAATGAACCAGTTGTGCCATGTTGTTCAAATGAAGTTTATTTGTATTTTTTACTAAGAAATATATAGTAGTCCGTTTTCTTTGTTTATTGTTGTTTTATTGTCATTGTGCCCAGTGTGGGCCAATTGTCAAGAAAAGTAGGGATGTAACTAAATAAACAATTTAATGTTTGACAACAGATTAGTACGGTCATAGCGATAGGTACTGTAACTATCAGCTTAGTGGGTAGAAAGGAAGAGAATAAACTCTTTCGCAAGACTTTTGATGTACATGCAATAATAGTTTTCGCCAGAGTTTGTGCTTTGAAGTGACCTATGTCTATCAACGTGAAAAATGTTACAAAATATTTGCCCAAATACTCATAAAATGGAAGGCTACGCCTTTATTTGAATTTGAAATTAAAAATAACTGTTGGAGCTGCAACATATCTGCTGAAGTTCTAAATTGAAACTTTAAACATAAACAGGTGAGAAATATGTTATACTTTTTATTAATTTATGATTTTTTAAATGAGAAAATATCAAAAATTATAGATCCACATCAATTCTTTGTGTATTTGGTTCAACTCAAACAGTAATGTTATCGTAACGAGTGTTCCGGTCTGAGGGTCGCCATAATTCTAGAAATATGTTATTTATGTTGCTTTCTATAGCTGTGTTCAGGCAAGTCCATGAAAGCTGCACGGCACATGATGTTAAAGGGTATCTTATAATGTAATTGAGTCATCAATTGGTTCAATTGAGATACGGGTTCAATGTCATAAGMATCGCTTTACAAGGAAATTGAGATCACAATAGGTGTAYCGATAGTTCGCCAACTGACAGCCATGTGTGAAGGAATAATAATAATAAAAAAATTCAACTTCAAGCAAGAGTTCTCAGCCGATRTATGATTGTTAATTAGGACATAATTCTATGCAATTCTATGGACGTTTTCTTGCAATGACTAGCTACAATGTAGATGCATCATCGCGTGTTTTTGCAAATAATTGTTAATTGAGTTTTATCTGCGTCAGAAATTTATTAAAACATCTAAAATAGCAACAAGAGAAGAGTTGCAAAGCATGTTGGTGGCTTTAAGATAGGGAGAGTTTGAAACTGAAGCAGCAAAACACTGGGTTTTGGTATTAAAACGAGGTAGAGCCGAAGATCTAAACATTCTTGCAAGGAAAAGCAATTAGAGGAAGAAGAAAAAGTAGAAAGAAAAAATGCATGCTGTCTGATTTCAAAACAACAAGAGCAAAAACAACAGAACTATCTACTGTATCTTAAAATTAAAACAGCTATAACTCTTATCCTTGACTTCTGTTTGCCTAGAAATTTCAGTAACAAAGCGCACATAGTTTTATATACATTTTATGACCTGGACCATAGCAGTACGTCATTTATACGCGAACTCTTCCTAAATCCTATGGTAAGCCAGCTTAGAAGAAATACTTKTCATATTTGGGCATGCGGTGGCTGTCTGGATAAGGTTGTCGCGGTGCAGAAGGGAGGTTTATCCATTCATAGCAGTATGGTAGTTTATAATGAGCGATTTTCCGCAACCTTCAAATCTATTTTCTTAATTATTTCGTTTCCAGGTAGCCAAAACTGACTATACATCAAATATGAAGACCTGCTTTAGAGCCCTATTGTTTTTGCTGATTATAATTTACATTGGTAAGGCCCTGTGTTTATGCAGCGAGCATCACCTATTCTTGCATCTTTGTGGCGCCTATTCGGTGTAAATCTTTTATGAATTTGGACACATTCGAGAATTTCAAACTCAATCTTTTTCATCGTTTATCCCTTGTCTTTGTTTTAGATGCRAAGCCCAAGTCTCGTAAAGGACTTTGTTTTGCACGTCACTCGGCAAAGAGCGGCTGCAGAACGATTAAGATTATTAAAGGAGGGAAGAAGTCTACCCTCGACGAATGCTGTAGAAATGGAGGACTAGGATGGAGTTTGAAATCAAAGGAGAGAAAAACCTGCACTACTTGTAAATCTRTTGGTAAGTTTGTCCTCCTCAGCGTTGTATAATTCAWGTTACGATGAATGTTGTAAAAATACTTAGTACTTAATTTCAGAAATTCTTCCCGGTCAAAACGTTTTAWRATTGCAATTTGTCACATTGCAGTTTCAGATAAAGAGCCCAAGAATCCTAAAGGGGTTTGTTTTGACCGATATTCCCCGAAGAGTGGATGTAGAAAGTTCACATTAGTAAACGGCGCAAAAAGGAGCACAATCGAGGAGTGCTGTAGAAGCGGAGGCGAAGGATGGAGTATAAAAAAGAAAGACCGCAAAAACTGCACTTCCTGTCAAACTGTCGGTAATTATACCACGTTTAAAGCGCGGAACCGGCCAGAACCTCGTTAATGCGGCCAGGAAAGGGATATCGAAAAGTGTCCACATTAACGAAGTGACCGTTAGAAAATGACTGACATGTTTGGGGGTTTTAGTAGACCATGAGGTGGCCTTTTTAAGCGACCGGCCGTGAGGCGGGGTTCTACTGTCAAAGTCTAACTTCGAATTCATTCTATTAATATCATTTTTATATTTTTCTTATAGATACGAGTTTCTGGGGAGAGTGGACTACRTGGACAARATGCAGCGCAACTTGTGGCCAGGCTTCTATGGCGCGACACAGAAAGTGCATTTCAAATGGTAAACCAAGCTGTCGAGGACGCAATGTGCACACTAAACAGTGCAWGAACTTGCCTCACTGTCCAAGTAAGAAAACATGTGATAGAGAGATTGTTTATTATAAATTCGTCGCAACCCGAGGGATGGATTATGAAAATATTTACATTACAAAAAATTTGAAAGATCTATGTATAAAAACACAAAAAATATTGTATATACTACATATAATAAACTATTCAAAAGGAGRTAATAGAATATGCACAATTATGTCTAATAAAACTATTTAAAGAGAGATAATAAAATATGTACAATTTAATGCTTAGTACCGAGAAAGAGAATTTTTTAAAAAGCCAAATCGGCTTGTTTTAAATTTCGGTACCCTGAAAAGGCGTTTGCGTCTTAGAGAAATATTAAAATCGTTTACAGGAGGCAGGAGAGAATTTTAATTCTTAAAAGTTTACAGTTCTTATCGTTAACAATCTTATTAGCCTGCGTGGCGGCTCTAGGGGAGGGGGGAGGGGGAAAACGGAAGGGGAGGGGGTGGGGAGGCGGAGCGGAAAAAAAAGAGAG